TTAGACCACACTAAGGTATCACTTTTCACCCAGTAGGATGGCTACAGTAAAAAGACAGACAATAAGAAGTGTTTTCAAAGATGTGGAAAGTAGCCGTGCATGATGGCACATGCCTGTAGTCCTAGCTACTCAGGAGGATGGAGCAGGAAGATCACTTGAGGCCAGGAGTTCGAGGCTGTAGCATGCTATATTCATACCTGTGAATAGCTACTGCACTCTTGGATTGGGCAACATAGTGAAACTCTGCTGCTATTAAAAAACAACAACAACAAAAATACACGCATACACATAAGCAAAGATATAGAGAAATCAGAACCGCCACACTACTAATAGGGATGGAACAAGATGTAGCCACTTTAAAAAACAGTCAGGCAGTCCTGAAAATGCTGATTAGAGTTGCCGTATGACCCACCAATTCCACTCATAGGTCTATGCCCAAGAGAAATGCAAACATGTCCACACAAAACCTTATACATCAATGTTCATAGCAGCATTATTCATAACAGCCAAAAGGAAGAAACAACTCAAATGTTTATCAACTAATGAATGAATAAACAAACTTTAGTATATCCATACATTCAGCAATAAAATTACATACTGATACATGCTACAACATGGATGAACCTTGAAAACACACTAAGTGAAAAAAGTTAGGCACCATGTTATGCCTTACGAAAGGCCACATATCATGATTCCTTATTTATTTATGTATGTATTTATTTTGAGACAGAGCCTCTCTCTGTTGCCTAGGCCAGAGTGCAGTGGGAGTGACCTCGGCTCACTGCAACTTCTGCCTCCCAGGCTCAAGTGATTCTCCTGCCTAAGACTCCAGAGTAGCTGGGACTGAAATCACCTGCCACCATGCCCAGCTAATTTTTGTATTTTTTTTGTAAAATGAGGTTTTGCCATGTTGGTCAGGTGGTCTCAAACTCATGACCTGATGCGATCCACCCACCTTGGCCTCCCAAAGTGCTGGGATTATAGGCATGAGCCACCATGCCCAGCCTCCATTTACGTAAAATATTCAAAATTGGTGAATTTATAAAAACAGAAAGTATATTAATAGCTGCCTACAGGCCAAATGCAGTGGCTCATACCTGTAACTATAGTCCTTTGGGAGGCTGAGGCAGGATTCCTTGAGGCCAAGAGCTCAAGACCAGACTGGGCAAGTGAGACCCTGTCTTTATGAAAAAATTAAAAATTAGCTGAGCGCGGTGGCACACACCTGTAATTCTAGCTTCTCGGGAAGCTGCGGTGGTAGGATCACTTGAGCTGGCAGTTCACGGTTGCTGTGAGCCTCGATCACACCACTGTACTCCTGCCTGGGCAACACAGTTGCCTAGGACTTAGAGATGTGGTGGGAAAATTGAGAAGTATGAGCTAATAGAAAAAAATAAGATTTAAGAAAAAGAAAGAAAAATCTGAGCCACAGTGAGTAAAACAGAAAAAAAAAAGGTTTAAGAGAAGTGACAGCTAAAGTTACTGGATATCTTTCTGTGTTGATAAAAATGTTCTAAAATTGATTATGGTGATGATTTCATAACAAAACACTGAATTATATGTATTAAATGGGGGAATTGCATGGTATGTTAAGTGTATCTCAATAAAGCTGCTTTTTTTTTCTGTTTTTTGTTTTTTATTTGAGACAGATTCTCACTCTCTTGCCCAGGCTGGAATGCAGTGGCACGATCTCAGCTCAGTGTAACCTCTGCCTCCTGGGTTCAGGCAAATCTCCTACTTGAGCGTCCTGAGTAGCTGAGACTACAGGCATGCACCACTATGACCAGCTAATTTTTCTCTATTTGAAGTAGAGGCGGGGTTTCACTGTATTGGCCAGTCTGTTCTCAAACTCCTGACCTCAGGTAATCCACCCGCCTCAGCCTCCCCGAGTACTGGGGTTACAAGCGTGAGCATCACACCCTGTTTAAAGCTGTTATTTTAAAAATTTGCATGAAACATAGGAGGTATTCAATAAATAAATGAATACATGAAAGAATGAATAAATGAAAACTATATCAAGTGTGAAAGAATATGGACTTGGAGATAGAAGTGGTTTGAACCACAATTTTGACATTTACTAAGTGTTGGATTTCACTGAGGTTTTAGCTTTCTCAACTCTAGTTGGGAACAATAATGAGATAATCCCTATAAAATGTTCAGCCCAGTAAGAAAAGTATCTACTGCTTATTAGTAATCTAGCAGATTAGAGCTATATCAAAAGCAATAATCAGTGTCAATAATAGTAGTAACATTTTAGTTAAGCTGGGTGCTAGAAGTATGGATGCTTAGTTTATTATTATTCGATATTTATATTGTTTGTATTCTTTTGCATGTATCAAAAATCACAGGCCTTGGCCAGTCTGGTGGCTCATACCTGTAATCCCAAAACTTTAGGAGGCCAAGGCAGGAGGTTGCTTGAGCCCAGGAGTTCAAGACCAGCCTGGGAAACATGGTGGAATACCAGCTCTACAAAAAATACAAAAATTAGCAGAGTATGGTGGCGTGCACCTGTGGTCCCACCTACTGGGGAGGCTGAAAGATGGGAGGAGCCCTTGAGCCCAGGAGGTCAATGCTGAAGTGAGCTGAGATCGTGCCACTCCACTCCAGCCTGGACAAAAGAATGAGATCCTGTCTCAAAAAAGAAGAACAACCAACAAAAAACAAACAAAACCAAAAATCACATGCCTTTAAAAACAGATCATAAAACAAAACATACCATAACAACAAAATATATAATGCCCAAGGACTAGAGATTTTCACTTGCCAGTCACTTCATGATCTAGTCAACAGATACCATTTCTCCTAAAGGGGAATATTGTCATTTCCATGGCAATAAAATTTCCCTCTCATCTAAAGGGAACTTGAGGCTTAGGTCCTAGCTAATCCTTCCTCTGGAAAAAAGGCCTAGAACTCAGTTTGAGCCATTTCTTCCTAATTAACCTGCATTAGGTGCATCTTTAAAATTGGGAAACTTTTGGAAGAACAGCAACATTCTTCTTACTAGTGGCACTGACAGCACTCAGCCAAAACCCCACACGGACACTGTACATTGTATCACCACCACTACTCAGGATGGTGAGGACTCAGGGTCAGGCTCATAGGCAGCCACTCTTCACAGTGTTAATCTGGTGGCTGTTTGCTGGGTATCATTTAGGAAATGGTATATCCTATGTCCCACAGAGCCTAATATTCTATAAAGAGAGACTCATCCTTTTTAAGACTTTATTCTCTGTTGAAATCTATAGACTTTGGGAAGAAACCGTGAATTGTACTTTAACAATCACTTATACCATAGTATAACTGAATTTGTCAGTAGAAACTCAATAATTGCTTTTTTTTCTTCCCTGAAAGAAGAGATTTAGAACAAAGTGGGAAGCAGAAAACGTTTGAGGTGAAAAATTGCAGACAACCTTATCACTCTGCCTAGAGTCCAACCTGACTATTTTTCATGCTGTCAATTTTTCACTAGACAATCCATCAAAAGCCTCCAGAAATGAGTCATGATTAAGAAAGATTTAGAGTGTCAGCACAACCCTCAAGGCACCTCACACTTCAAAAGAAATTCCTAAAGTTCAAACCTATAAAGAGGGTCTGTAGCTAGGAAGAACAAAGGAACTAAATATCTTATTTTGGTTTAACCACCTGTTCCCATGTCTGACATGTGGTTAAACCACTTAGGTCACATGTCAGACATGGGAACAGGTCAGCTTCATGGCCAAAAACCTGGATACTGCAAATGGAAACAAATAATTAGCTACATGATACAGAAAGAGCATGACTTAGAAGATTTCTGGCAAAGGCATGTATGTGCTGTGATAAAAATGAGTTAGAAAGCTTCTTAAGCTAATGGGAACTTAAAACCACCAAGAAAAAGAATATTTATGATTGGCAAAGATTCTCTCTCTAGACAAGAACCAATTACGGGATCTAAGTGGAGCAAAGGAAAAAGAGAAACTTAACTTTTGGTGATCCACCTAAGCAAAAGCTGTATTCTACATCCACTGTTTACGCTTCATTAAAAAAGAAATGTAACCAAAGAGATTTCCTTCCTGAGAATGTGCTGGGGCATGCATACAGGCACACACACCCACACAGCAATCCACCTCTTCCAAAAAACTGCAGAAAGGTGAGGACTCAGGTATGTGCCACAATGACACATATCAAGGAGAACCTGGAGCAACCTCTCTCTCTCTCTCTGACCCCTGAGGCAGTGTCTCTGAATTAAAAGCTTCCAAGGTCACTGACCTCATCACCTCAGGTTTCACAAGCAACTGAGGAAGCTTTAGCCAAGACTGTCTGCCAATTCAACTAGAAGTTATTAATGTTTCCAAGAACAAAATGACTAAACAAGTCTTAAACTGTGTATTATCAAATAAGAAACAAATACCACCAATGAAATTAGTCAAGATGAAAACAGATTTAAGCATTGGTCCGAACCCAATGCCATGTGTATACTTTAAAGACAGAAACATTTGTGCTCTAAGTAAATATAATCTGAGTCTCTGGGTTCAGAATTTTTGTCAATAGCTAAAATGTAGTTTCCATCACTATTGTTTACCATACCCTCTGGCCTCTAAAAAATAAAAATTATAATTAAACAGTGGCTTAGTCTTATATTTAAAATATAAGGGCCCAATTAATCAGCCATCTCACACTTGTTTTAAAGTTGCAGTTAATATATATGAGTGGTAATTCTACTCACTACTATATTTTCTATACTCTATTTCTTAAAAAGGAATAGGAATTAGGACTTTAAGTCTGGAAGGTAATGCTCTAGGAGCATCACAGAGATAGAGCTGATTATAATACTACCTCTTTTCTATACTCAAAACCAGTTAGCTTATACAATAAAATTCAAAAATTATTCCATATGATCACTGAGAAAACCTGCTTAGAATCCCTTGAGTTCAAGGGAAAGGCTACTCAGAGATCTATCATATCTGTGCAAAAAGGTTAAAGGAATATATTTGTCACAAGAAGTGCCTAAGATTAATACTTACACAGCCTCCAGCAAGGATTTCTGCTGGAAGTGGAACAGAGCCATCTCTTCTGGTAAATTTGTCCCGAACAAAATCATTAACCTAATTAGAAAGACAACATCAGTTAACCAAAATTCCTAACCATTTCTCTACTGGCACACTGTTACTTTTCCAAGTCAGCAAAATACTTGTCTTATAATATTAAAAATTATCAAATGCTTATATGTAAAATTAAAGTTTTACAAATTCTGTGATAGCGTGCCAGTCTAGGCAGCATCAATTTTAGTTTTGTTTTTGAGACACGGTCTAACTCTGTTGCTCGGCTGGAGTGCAGTGGTATGATCATAGCTCACTACAGCCTCAAATACCTGAACTCAAGCAATCCTCCCGCATTAGCCTCCTGGCATGCATCAAACTTGGCTATTTTTTTTTTTTTGGTAGAGCCGAGTTCTTACTGTTCTTATACTGGTCTGGAACTCCTGGCCTCAAGTGATCCTCCTACCACCAAAAATCCTAGGATTATAGGCATTCACTACCATACCCAGCCTTGATTTTAGTTTTCTGGCTTAATAGTAATCTAAACAAATGACACAAATTCAGTTAAAAACAAACTTACAGTCAGTTTAATGGCCTTTTCTGGAGCAACCCCTATAAGTTGTGGTATCAGACCTAGGTAAAGGGACAGAATCATCAGCAATATAGATGTACCAGACATGAATACACAAGCCCAACAATGAAGTGTTTCCCCCTTATTATTTACCCATCAAACATTTTAGAGTTTTCACTAAAATGGGAAAAAGATTATCCTAAAACTCTGTATATATTTAATAATTATTTACAAATGCAGTATAATGTCACGTTTTCTTGAAGTTATAAATCCTGTCTTAAGCATGCTTCCTTTAAAGCCTAGTTAACCAACACCTCCCAAAAAATATGTAAGGAAGAAACGGAGCCATGGGTCTTCTCTATTCTAGGAACATTGCCAATAACAACGTAACCAAATTCTCTCCCTTGTTACAACCAACAACATAAAACATACACAGACACTGTATACTTGCAAAAGCTCTGAAAAGCATGCTGTTATGTATACCCAGATTTTGCCACCCAGATTTTGCCACAAACTATGCTACCGACATACTGGCATACAGTGGCTTGGTTATTATAGAATATTAACTCCCATAATCTTTTCTTCAGAGAAACACGGCATTCAATATTCATTCATTTAAAAAGAAGCCAAAACTGCCAAGAAAAATGCAGTTTTATGTATTGTTTAATGAATATCTCCTATAAGCAAAAACATACACCTGTTGTATTATTATTTACTAATATATGTCAAGCTTAAGACATTTTAAAAGAATCCCCTCAGAACAAAGGAAATCATAATCCTTAGAAAGTTAAATTTCCCAGGATGGCTGCATACTAGAAAAGAAAAAAATAAAAAATACAACATCTATTGGGCTTGGCTTTCTGAAGTTCACAGCTTATCCAAATTGTTAGCATACTTTTTTGCATACATTTTTTAAAGATGCTGACAACAAACATTTTATATCCTTTAAATCATCCAGCCAAAGGGGAGGTATATGTGTGTTTGCCTGCTTGCTTACTGCTGATCTTAAGCCTGCTTTGAGGATACCGCTGAGTGATTTTCCATGAGTTGAGAGCCAGCAAGTAATCATACATAAGGCTACTGTCAGTCAGACTGAATTATCAGTGACACACACAAATCCACGCACACCTTTCATGGGTAGCAGACTGATTTAAAAGAATAAATCAGCAGATGGCAGTCTTAACTTTCTAACCCTCATGATTATCAGGCTCTATTACTTTTAATCTAACTCCCATACAACCATGTCAGCATGCATATTTGTTTTACAACTTGCCTCAATAAGGCTCATGGAATTTAATAAAGTACTGATTTGTGTCATTTTATCATTGTTGCCTGCAAAGAAATGTAGCTAATCTGTCAACAATTTTGTCAATCATCTGACAGAATAATGGACCAGTTCCAAGCAATATATGACAATCTCAATAATCATAGCGCTCACCTACAGGACTCCTACAATCTTCTCCCTAATACAAAAGTCTCTCATTTAAAGAACTGCTTTTATGAGCTTACATCCTGAATAAAACCAACAATCCCCTCCCCCACTTGCTATATTGCATCCATTTAATTAACATGACATCTCTCTCAAATGAAATCTTCTGTAAGTACCTATCCATTGAGAAGGCTAAACTATGCAGTAAATATCTAGGATCCTTTTAATAGGGGACATTTTCTTTGCAATTTAAAAGCATATCAAGGAGGAGAAAGGTCATTATTCAACAAAGAAATATTGAAGATATCAAGGAAAAAAACAATCTTAATGCTACTCAACCTTGATTCCCCATTAAATAAAATCTGGACATGCAGGGCTTAATCAGTTAGAACAAGCATTCATGTGGACAGATCTGCATTCTGGATAATGTATACCCCTTTCCACGGCATACATGCTATACAGGTGGAACTCTGAGATGATGCTACAGTTCTGAATATTTGAGGAAAAATCATCACATTCATTCTTAAGAGCAGGGTACTTGAGCCTGGTTTGATTTCAGAATGACTCTCTCCTCTTATTCTATATACAATGCTAAAAATGAACATCCTTGTGACCCTCTCCTTCACTTATGAGTGATCAACATTATACTTTTTACTTGAATACCTGGATATAATGCTAACCAGAGGTGTTTTTTTCTCCTGTCCATAAGCCTAAAGCTTTGTTCAGGCCCAGCCTTTCTTAGGAAGAGGTTCTAAGCCAAATAGTTCAACAGAGCTCAGAATAAGCTAGGGATTAATGAGCTTGTGTGTGCAAACAAACAAGTACAGTAAATTACACAAATGCCCTGGACTTGAGCATGTAGAGAGTATTTTCAAAGAATCCCAAGTGGCGCCCAAAGAGATTAAAAAATTAATCTCCTTACCAAAGGAAACCCTGAATTCTAATGTGAAAACACACACATGAAAGTCTCTCTCAAAAGAGACAAGTTCCTACAAAGCCAATGGGGCTGGGGGAGAATTCTCCATGGGGCTGTTGCCTCTGATGCCAACTGCACCGTGCTCAGTCTAGAGTGGCTGCTAACATTCCTGCAGAAGAAAATCTCTCTGTTTTTACTGTGTACCTCTGAGCTAAATGGGGAAAACGAGCGAGATTTAGACTTGGAACCAAAGGGTTTTCCTATTTAAAAAAACAACAACAAAAAACCTTCAGATGGCTCATTTGAAAAAATTTATAAATGATCCCCGAAAGAGACAAAAACATTTGATATTTATTTTTGTTGAAACAAGTATATATAGGGTAAACTCATCTTTGAGTGGTAGCCTGGCTTCTTTTCTACAGAAAAGAGTTGTATTTCTCTTAAAGTAACTCTTTGAGAAAAGCAGCTCTATATTTCTTAGCTATCATCCTTGTATTCCACCTGCAGATACATGTCTTGGCTTGTAGGAGCATGGTGACATATACTCATGTTGGGACAAACACAGAATTTGGATACCAAGAAATATAAATAGCAAGAAGAAGAAATGAAGACCTTGGGCCGGGCACGGTGACTCACACCTGTAATCTCAGCACTTTGGGAGGCCAAGGCAGGGGGATCACCTGAGGTCAGAAGTTTGAGACCAACCTGACCAACGTGGAGAAATTCCATCTCTATTAAAAATACAAAATTAGCTAGGCGTGGTGGCACATGCCTGTATCCCAGCTACTCAGGAGGCCGAGGCAGGAGAATCGCTTGAACCCGGGAGGCAGAGGTTACGGTGAGCTGAGATCACACCATTGCACTCCAGCCTGGGCAACAAGAGCGAAACTTCCTCTCAAAAGAAAAAAAAAAAAAAGACCACCTTGTTTGCAGATTAATACTGCTAATCACCAGAAAGAATGTAAAAAGGGAAACAAGCAAAGAGAAAATAAAAAGAGAGAAACAGCCCTAGTCTGGCTAGGCATACTACATATTGGTTTCCATAATTAGTGAGTTAAAATCTGCTGCTGGTGAGATCAAATCACTAACTTCAACAGCTGGGATTTGCTTACTCACCCCGGTAGAGACCGAAGAAGCCCTCATAACGCAAGACTTTCTTAAAACAATCAAAGCTGTTTTTGTACATCAGCTCCCCAACAACAGAGCCAGTGCCACGCTGGTTTTGCATTCGGGTCTTCACCAGATCTATAGGATACACTGCAGTGGCTCCCACAGCTATAAACAGAACAATTTTTAAGCTTAAAAAAGAACATAATTAAATGGAGAGTCCCTAAGAGTGACAAATCTCATCTTAAAGGATGAGAAAATAAAACACAACGTATTCTCACAAAAGAGACTTTATATTATTATTTTTCTTTCCCTCACACAGAGTTTAGGGATAGCAGGCTAGTAACCACTGAAATCCATAAATACAGCTGCTTCAGAAAACAACTGTCAAGAATGCTCTTTGATATCTTAGTTTCATAAATTACAGAGTGGATTATTGAGTCACTTCCCAAATTAGATAATCAACACTCAGTTTTCTATAATAATAACATTCAACTATTATGTATAACATTTATTTACATTTTCCATTAAATGCCTAAATATTACGCCAGTTACTTCTTAAAATGACTGTATCTGTATAATAAGTGGCTATAATTTTAAAATTTAGTTTAATAAAGCATCTTGGTAAATTAATCAGTTACAACCATAACATTGGAGAATCACTTCAACATTATCCTATCCCTACGTATAGAATTTGTTTTAAAAGAAAATACGGCTATGCTTTAGAATTTCTCAGAGACTGAAAAATGTATTTACATGAATGAGAGTATTACTCATTTTGACTGCTGAAAGCTAAAACCTGGTTTGCAGCTTCTAAAACTGAGAGTGAAAAGAAAAAACAAAGAGTCTCTGGAGTTCAGGCTTATCTCAAACAAATCGTAAGCATTTTAATCACACCTGCTAGTTTCTTCTCAACAAAGCAACTTCAGATTCTACACATTTTCTATGTAGAATATTTAAGCAAAATAGTTTCTCAAATTTTGGCTGTGAACAGGGAGGAAAGAAAGGTTCATTTTTGCAGATAAACATCAAGTTCAGATATTGCTAAACCAGTGAAAAGGGAAAGGAAAACATATAAGCAGAAAAGCAAAAGTGAATCACTTTGAGAGGTTGTTTTATTTCATGAGGTTATGGGATTCATATCCCAAATCTCAATTTCTTTCTTTCTTTTTTTAACTTTTATTTTAGGTGGGGTACATATGAAAGGGTTTCTTATATATATTTCATTACCCAGGTATTAATCCCAGTACCCAATAGTTATTTTTTCTGCTCTCTTCCTCCTGCCACCCTCCCCACTCAAGTAGACCTCAGTGTCTGTTGTTTCCTTCTTTGTGTTCATAAGTTCCTATTTAGCTCCCACTTATAAGTGAGAAGATGCAGTATTTGGTTTTCTGTTCCTGCATTACTTTGCTAAATAGCAAATCTCAACCTCTCAACCTGCACCGTAAACACATTCTCATTTTCCAACTTTTCATACTGGCCTTAGCCAGTTTAATTAAGGTGAGTATAACACTGCATCCCAGACTTTCACATCATTACAGAGGTTTTGTCCTGAAGACAGACTGGAGCCAGATAGTCCACAGACAGCCATTGCTATGACAAGTCCTCTGATCACAGGTAAAAATAAAGAACACTTCAGAAAGCCCCGAAGTCGTGACCCATGGGAACAATGAACTGCACCTTTGCTGATCTGCCTCAGTCTAGTGAGATAATATTACATTAACACAAGCCTGAAACAGGACATAGACATGTCACTCACCTCCAGCAACTGAGCCCAGAGTGAATCTGTAAGCAGACTCGGCAATCTGGAGCCAGATAGGCCTGCCTAACCCAGGAGAATGCTGCAGAGAAGAAGAAAACAGGTAAAAGCAATCTTGCAAGAGCACACAGCAAGTGAAAAAGCTACAATCTGACTATTTTAAGACAAGGAAAAACAAAACCTAAAAGTGATATTGTTAATGCAGTAATATCTTTTCTAGAATTAGAAAATAGGATATTCATGCAGCCAAAAACAAAAACAATGTATTTAAAAACAGATAACTCTAACATCAGTATTTAAAAACCATATTTGGCCAAATATACAGTAGCTTCCCCTTACCCCAATTTTTACAAGCCTATTAAGGCCTCATTTATCTGCTACTATTGGGGAGTACACTATTAGTTTACAGAAGTGAATCCTTCAGGTAAACAAGCATTTCAGTTATGAATTTTTTTCCTTTTTTAATTAACAAAATTTAAAAAGCTTTTTAAAATATATAAAAATTAATTTGATTCCCAAATCAGAGAATACTGATTGTAATCTACTATCTCTAATGACTACTGTCATAGTTCTAATATAAAACCTATAATAACTAGAAAGGAGAAAGTTCACATACTTGCCAATGTCTTAATTATATATATATATATATATATATCTAAATAATATACATTATAAAATCACATAAAAATGTATTTTAAAGTATATACAAAAATAGAAATTATAAACGAGATAAATATTTTAAATAATTGTATATTTCACTCATTCATTAGTGCAAAAATATTCTTTTTTTTTTTGGAGACAAGATTTCACTATGATGCCCAGGTTAGAGTGCAGTGGCACAAACATGGCTCACTACAGCCTCAAATTCCCAAGCTCAAGCGATCCTACCACCTCAGCCTTCAAGTAGCTAGGACTACAGGTGCATGCTATCATATCCAGCTAATTTTTAAATTTTTTGTAGAGATGGGGTCTCCCTATGTTGTCCAGCCTGGTCTCAAACTCTTGAGTTTAAGTGATCCTCCCACTTTGGCCTCCCAAAGTGCTGGGATTACAGGCATGAGCCATCCCCCCGGCACAAAAATATTCCTGATATTACTTTCAAATACCAAAATCCATGGACGCTCACATCCCTGATATAAAACAGGGTAATATTTGCATATATCCTATGCACATCCTCTTATATACTTTAATTCATCTCTAGGTCAGCCGGGTGAGGTGGCTCACGCCTGTAATCCCAGCACTTTGGGAGGCCAAGGTGGGTGGATCACAAGGTCAAGAGATCGAGACCATCCTGGCCAACATGGTAAAACCCCATCTCTACTAAAAATGCAAAAATTAGCTGGGCATGGTGGCGCACTCCTGTAGTCCCAGCTACTGGGGAGGCTAAGGCAGGTGAACTGCTTGAACCTGGGAGGCAGAGTTTGCAGTGAGCTGAGATTGCGCCACTGCACTCCAGCCTGGCGCCTGGTGACAAAGCAAGACTCTGTCTCAAAAAAAAAAAAAAATCATCTCTAGGTTACTTGTAATACCTAATATAAGGTAAGTAAGATGTAAATAGTTGTTATACTGTATTCTTAAATTTTGTACTTTTTTTTATTGTTTTTTCCCCAAATATTTTCCATCCACAGTTTGTTGAATCCAAGGACATGGAACTCAAGCAGATGGAGGGCTATATTGAATATGCTTCAGTATAATTAACTGAATGTGCTTAAATTAGTTTCTAAAATGATTAACCAGTTAATTCTGATAACTTTGTTTCAAAGACAACAGTTGAAAACATAAACACAATCTGTCCCTTCAAGGCAATGATGACACTTAATCTCACATACTTTGAAGGAATTCAAGTTATGACATTGCTACAGATTCAATGCTTGTGACCCCCCAAAATTCATGTGTTGAAACCCTACCGGCCAATGTGATAGTATGTGGTGATGGCACCTTTGAGTGGCAATTAGGTCATAAAAATGGAGTCCTCAGGATAGGATTAGTGCCATTATAAGACACAAGAAAGATGAACTCTCTTTTATCTCCCTCATATAACAAGGATACAACAAGAAGCCTGCTGTCTACAGACTAAGAGGGCTCTCACCAGTAACTGAATCCGCCAACTCCTTAATCTTGTACTTTCTAACCTCTAGAACTATGGGAAATAAATGTTTGTTATCTAAACCATCAATGGTAATTTGAAATAGCAGTCCAAATATAGACAGCCATTTTAGCTTACATTTTAAAATCAATATAGCTATTATGCTACCTATAAGTTTTTAACTTATTTAAAAATACATAGGGCGGGTGCAGTGGCTCATGCCTGTAATCTCAGCATTTTGGGAGGCCAAGGTGGGCAGAACCCTTGAGGTCAGGAGTTCAAGACCAGCCTGGCCAACATGGTGAAACCCTCTCTCTACTAAAAATACAAAAATTAGTCGGGTATAATGGCAGGCACTTATAATCCCAGTTACTTGGGAGGTTGAGGTGGGATCATCTCTTGAACCAGAAGGTGGAGGTTGATGTGACATGAGATCACACCACTGCACTCCAGCCAGGGCGACAGAGCGAGACTCTGCCTCGAAAAAAAAAAAGTATACAGAATGTTATTTCCCCCACTTGGAGTTTATCAATCACAAAACTGGATGAAAATAAACCTATTTCTCATAGATTATGAATTATTTTCATTCATGTATCCTTTCAAAAGGATATGCTGAATTAACACTCATAGAATAAAAAGGCTATGATCTTAAATAAACATCAAGTAACCACTAATTCCCTTATTCATATAAAAGGTTTCTCCTGTGTTCAATCACATATATGTTTCTTTATACTTTCTTCCTTTAAAGAATGTTTATAAGCTCTATAAAATCCTATGAAAACTGAAGGATTATACTGTGCTTTAATTCTTTGCTAAAAACATTTCTAACTATAAATACCCAAATGCCTTTTGACAGAAATGTCACCTCACCCTTATTAAATAACATTTAAAAGAAAACATACAATATATGGTTAGCAAGATTTTTTTAAGGTTATCACTTATGGCTCACTTGTATTCAGGTATGTAAATTAATGTAATTAATGCTATGGATTTTGCTTCATGAATATTCATGAATGAAATGCTATCACTGTCATCCCTATTAATGACTGTGTACTGAATTTTTAGCATTTAGGCTGAAGGAAAACACTCAGCACTAAGAAGATTGCCTGCCGTGAGCAAATGGGCCAAAGAAAAAGATGCTCTTTCCCTTAAGGTTATGATTATGATCATAAAGTTTGATATTTAACAAGGTTAATTAAGTGTTTTTCAAAACAAGAATTGAGAATATTAAATGATTTTTAACCTACTCCCTAAGCATATCTGTATGATAGGAAATAAGTCAAGACCTCATTTAAAGAGACTGTCTCTTCATTTTTTTGTTACAGGTATCTCATTTTGTAAGTGAGAATTAGGTCTAGTGAGGTGGCTCACATCGGTAATCCTAGCACTTTGGGAGGCTAAGGGAGACAAATCACTTAAGCCCAAGAGTTCAAGACTAGCCTGGGCAACATGGTGAAACCCCATCTCTACAAAAAATACAAAAATTAGCAAGGCGTGGTGGTACATGCCTGTGGTCCCAGCTACTCAAGAGGCTGAAGTGGAAAGATCACTTGAGCCTGGGAGGTTGAGGTTGCAGTCAGCAGTGATCGTGCATTAAATAAGGCAAGATTATGTCAGTTAACAAGTAAAACAACCTTCCCAAACCATACTGCTAACTCAGTAGAGAGAGCTGCCTCTTTTAAATGACACATTATTAATGGGTAGAATAAAAGGGAGAAGTAGCTAAAGTTTTTATACTGAACACTGGAAAAGGGAAAAAAGGCTAGATTCTATAAAAACAAAATTGTATGACTGGAATGGCAAAATAAGGCTAGGGAAAACAAAACAAAATTTTTCTGTCTGAAAATCATATCTGTGACTTTGGTAGTCTGGGATTTGAATTCAATATTCCTGGCCTTACAAAGTAAGATTAAAATATAAAGCTATGACAGTATAGGAGATGAAAGAAAAAAATTATATACATATATATATATATATATATACACACACACACACACACACACACACATATTTAATTGAATATATATATTCCTGAATGCTAAACAATACTTTTCTCTCAGTAAAAGGGAGTTAAGTTCTATTAAAGATTATAGTAAGTCATGAAGAAAAAAAAAAGAAAAAAGATTATAGTAAGTCTTCAAATCTAATCATTTAAATGAGGTAAATGACTAATAAATAATAGCTAATATATAAACCTAATCCTTTTTGAGAACAGACTTCCATTTGTGGTTAAACTACCAAGGTGACAGAGGTAAAACGTTCCAAAAAAGGAATTCCTAAATGGGCTGTAATGTCTTCCAGTGTGTGCTCATGAATCCAAAATTCAAAGAAGGTCCACAGAAATGCAAATTACATGAAGAAAACAAAGTCCTTTGTCTAAGGAATGCTGTACACAAAATGAAGATAAAAATAATTCTAACATGCAGCTATAAAAAAGAATGAGATCATGTCTTTTGCAGGAACATGGATGGAACTGGAGGACATTATCCTCAGCAAACTAACACAGGAACAGAAATCCAAATACCATATGTTCTCACTTATAAGTGGGGGCTAGATGATAAGAGCTTATTATGCACACAGAGATGGAAACAACAGACACTGGGATCTACTTGAGGGAGGAGTAGGGGAGAAAGGAGTGGAGCAGAACAGTTAACTACTTGGTACTGAGCTTAATACCTGGGTGATGAAATAATCTGTACAACAAACCCCCATGACACATGTTTACCTATGTAACAAACCTTCACATGTACCCCTAAACTTAAAAGTTAAAATAATAATTCTCAATAACGCTAATAGTGTTTTGATAGACTACAACCCAGCGTATAAGCCATGGTTAAGTGAGTGGCCTATAGCTTTAATATAATTTTCCATAGAAACCAAACTCTTTTAAAGAAAGTACATATATACCCAAGCAGGTCCATCACAAATCATTTATCCCACACAGCTGAAAAAGTAATTATGTAATATACAGTAAAGCAAAGAGAAGGTTTGTTTAC